TGCTTGTTTGTAGGTGACCAAATACTTATTTTCCACCATTATTTGCAAAAAAATTATTTAAAAGTCAGACAAAACGATTTTCTCAAAAATTTTTTCACATTTTGTCTCTCATAGTTAAGGTCTACCGATGATGTCAATTAGAGGCCTCTCTCATCTTTTTTAGTGGGAGAACTTGCACAATTGGTGACTGACTAAATACTTATTTTCCCCACTGTATGTGATAGACGGTGGAAACGGTATGAAGTTGGCCTACGGTAGAAATTTATCCTCTACCGTCAGTTACGTCATCGCACCTGTGTCAACAGGGCTGTGAGTGCAGAGACAACTGAGCAGGAGTTCAAATATTCTGAAAACAAATGAAGAAATATAGTGTTTTAAAACACATAAAGAGAGAATAAATCCTCAAAATTTCCCCTCCTGCTGTAGAAAAGTTACGACGTGTCACAGGATCATTTCCTCCCCCGCTCCTGCTGCACGTCGCTCAGAGTGAAGCTTTAACTACCGTAGTTTTTTCACACCCAAGTTGTCAGAGAAAAAACTTGTTCTTATGTTTTGTTAAAGATGTGTCATAAATCCATCTTGCTAATGCAACAGTCGGCTTCTGAGAGCAGCAGACCAGCAGGCAGAGAAGCTCATTGTATGGCAGGTCGATATTACATTTATTTGGCTTCACCACACTTATATTCTAGTTATCTGAAATTGTTTTATGTCCAGAACTATATGCAGCTTAAGCCCCTTTTTTATGTCTGACTAATTTTACTTGAAGTACTGTACTGGTTATAACATCCACTTATTTTGATATTGTTGAAAATTTAAGAAATGTTCTTGTTTGTTGTTGAAACCGTTTTGCAGTATATACATAAAACATTGTTTTGTACTTATGTTCATTTTCACTACAGCAAAAAATGCTGGGTTTGATTATGATTACAGTTTTCTGCAAAATAAATGCTCTAAAAATTATATTATCTTTGCTTTTTATGATAAATTTCTACAGTAATATATACCGTTACCGTGAAGAGATTCAATTTATACTGTGATATGAATTTGAGGTCATACCACCCAGCCCTAATTTGTGTAAGATGTCACAACATTAATCCAATGATGACAGGAGTCGTCACAAAGAGTAGAAGAAGGTTATCTTGTTGAGTTGTTCTTTAACGTTTCTTCGGAAATGGTCTCAATTCTGTTGTTGTTTATGTAAAACAGGACACGATTTTACAGTAAACATGAAGCGGGTGTGGGTGTAGGGACTGATGACGTACTCTCACCTTCATATGTCACCTCTGCAGGTCCCGTCATCGCCCTCGAGCTGAACGGCGACGGAGTCATTGAAGCCTGCAAGAACATCGCCAGTGAAGTTTTCAGTGGCACCAAGGTCAGTCATGCCGCCTCCCTTAGTTTACGCTCATTAACTCGTTCTCCTGAGAAGAAATCCTACAAATCTGCTTCTTCTTGCAGGTTTTTGTCTCCAACGACAAAAACACGTCCTCTCAAGACGTCGACAGCTTCTTCAACTTTGCCGACATGCAGATGGGATTATAAATGTTTTCTAACTGCCTGAACTGATTAGCTCAGTCTGAATACGACTCCTGATGATTTCCAGAGCACATAAAAAGATCATTTGATAATGCCTTTAATCAAACAATCACAAGTCTGTGCAYGCTCTTATTCTGAAAAAACAAAATGGCTGTAAACCACTGAAACGTTAGTCGCAAAACGTGCTGTGAATATTGATTTTGAACAATTTTGTTGCGTTTAGCTCCTGTGAATGTTGATTTTTGTTGTAAATTATTGTTTTGTTCAAAGCTAGTAGTTGAAACAAGCACAAAAACGCCTGAGAAATTATTTTCTAGTTCTTGTTTTTCTTCACAGACTTCCCTGTGCTTGTGATTTAGATGATAGACATTTTGTTTGGATTATGTAAACTTGAAACATGCTGTATGATTCTTTTTTTATGTATTTATTAGGCCAAAATCATGTAGTGAAAGACTGAGTATATCATTTCTGCCAAACTGTGTAAAGATGTGGAACATACAGGTGCTGGTCATAAAATTAGAATATCATGAAAAAGTAGATTTATTTCAGTAATTCCATTTAAAAAGTGAAACTTGTATATTATATTCATACATTACATACAAACTCATATATTTCAAATGTTTATTTCGT